TACTAAGAGAGTAGGGAACGAAGCACAGGTTAAGAGCTTCCTTTTCCTTTTTTTCTCATTCAGGAGAATTCTGAGAAAGTCAATTATCCGAAAACTTTAGTCTGACATTGGCTTAAATGGTGAGAGTGCCTTTGATCAGAGTGGAGTCAGGAACGTCGACTTCAGTTTCTGTCCCTTTTCTAAAGAAATACTGAAGAATTGACTGCAGCGCAGTGTTGTTTAAGATTCGTTCCTTTATGCAAGTAGCTTCGGAAAGACTTTAATTTCTAAATATGAAGTATAATTCGGGCGTCTTTAATGGATGTGATAAACGGCAATAACTAGCCTGGTCGCTTGGGTGGTATCCTTCAGCCATTGTCCTGTCGACAAGTGCTTAACCCCTATTTTATTATATATCTTTTTAGAGGTAAGTGTTTCGGATTTAATAAATATATATCCTTCTTATATTTATTATTGGCCGATTATCAACAGGAATCGTCATTTCAGGTCATCCTTTTATAGGTCTGTGAATGGGTCAGGAAAGAAGCCGTTTCACTCTCTCAACAGGGACCGACCTTTTTACCTGTTTAGGACAGTATTATTTAAAGAACTGCCGTTTGAACCATTTAAAGGTCGAAGATGCTTCCTTCTCCCTGTTACAAACCCAATACACCCTTCTTACTCTTCGGCTATAGGGTGTAAGAAGCAAAGCACAGAACATTGTCCCATTTTACTTTTTGCAGTATGTCTATCCTTGATCGAGTGAACCCACGGCATATGCGCACATCATCGTCGACATTATTAAAATCAACATCGACACCAGGATCCCTGTCATTGACAGCAAAAATGAGCTTTTCAATTTGCGTTTAAATATTTATTGATTTTTATGCAATTTCATTTAATTTGCCGCCGCTTTTATCAACGCACAAAAACAATCGTCAGACTCAATCTCGTGATTGAGGGAATACAAGTACGGTTGGTGGCAGGCAGGCATGTGGCAGGCGAAAAAAGCTAATTTCTACAAATTTTCACTTTGGCGCCACGGCCGGTGCTCAGAGACTAGGGAATTGATAGCCACATACTCGTAGTCGCAGCATTTGCCAGTCAGCCGCGTCATTTTGTCATTTTGTCATTCGCCAACAGTTGGTTTTCCCTTTGCCGGCCGCCTTTTTTATGGTTTGGTGCATGAAGCCCAATGGGCGCTGCACGTGGCATTCGTTTTTACCTTCATGTTCAGCACGTGCCGCATAATGGTGCAAGTGTTGCCCGTGCAGGCTATTCATATGCCTCTTTACATACATACATGTGTACCGTTAGACAGACGCTTTGGCTTGTCATGTTTGGGTTAATTAGTGGGGCGTGGTGGCATCACGTTGATTGCCGCATGTGGCCGTGTCAGTGCCTCGCTGCTAGTCATTGAATTGCCACTTCTTCCACATTTCTCTCGGATCTCGATGGCAGCGCATAAATCTAGACAGAAGACAAGAGCAAGTTGCCACCGCCCCCCAATTTAATGCTTCGAATTTTTAAACAATCCCAAAATTAAATATTTTGTCACTCTTTGTCTAACTTTTGACATTTAACCTCCAGAGCGAAAGCTGTTGCCACGCATACCCACAGTAGGCCCTCACTAGCAAAAACCTGTATTGAAAATAATCGAATATCACGATTATAAATATAAGTATATTTCTTATTGGCCACAACTTGCTCAAATTTTGTGCTTCATTCGTGAAGCTTAGTTTAAAACAAAACGATTGTGAATTGAATTGCGAGTTTCCCATCCAACACTGTATCTTCGGCTTTAGACCAGAAACTTGTTCTCATTAATGAGAATCAGTCTTGATAGGTATAGAAATATATACTCTTCTTGGAACTTACTCGTCTTGCGATTTTATTTATGGCTATAGCTTTCTTCAGAATTGACCTATCATGATGAAACTTGGCGTACGGACACATAAGCACTAACTGGACGTAACTACTAAAACTGATTTCAAAATTCCAACAATTACGGGAGTTAGAGAAAAAAAAACGAATTGCGGTGGAGTGTGGGGGGGGGGGTGTATCCGAATACAAAAATAAACTTGACCTGCCTAGGGCTTAGGGAAACCTGGATACCAAGTTTGGTAATTCTAGCTCTTGTACCTTCTGAGATCCTTGCGCTCATACAGACGGATGGACAGACGGACAGACGGACATAGCGACTCGGCTTGTCACCCTTTCACCCTTTGGGTACAGGCTATAAAAATATAAAATATGTATTTGAAAATATATAAAGTGAATACTTCAGCCACACTAAATAAATGTATATATAGTTTCTAATTAAATGTTAAACTTACCAAAAGCAAGTTTTCCAAAGATATTAGATTAGTATTGTGCTATTTCAAATTATTCGTTATTCGTTTCTAACAAAATTCTACTGAAGTGAGATCTAGAGTTTTCTATGATAATTCTAGATTATAATGCTTGCAAGTTTAAAGACTGATGCATAATCAGTTGTATGGGCTCTTGGTAGCTCTATATCGAGGGTGCACTGTATGGGTCTGCCATGGGTCTCAGGTGGCTGAGGGAGCCCCAAGTCGAAGTCTGTGCGCCTTCGCGTTTTGGTAAAAATCTTTGTTCTTTTTCCGCCGCAAAGTTAACATTCAAATTAAAATGAAACGCCACGAGGAAATTTATGCCATGGGAGTCGTGGTGTCAAATACATGGGCCCTTCGAATATCTAGTCCCACATCGAATGAGTGTGCTAGCATTTCCTCTGGGGTGGAGCGCTGTTTGTTTTGACACTCTGTCTACATGCATCTCTGGCGGCTTTCCTATAAATTACACCCCGACATTTGACATATGTATGTATGTTCTTGGGGCCGGGCAGGGCATGTCCAAGCTCCTGTAAAGATCTGCCGCTTAGCGATAGCCTAATGTTTTGTTTGTTTTTTTGATTAGTTTGTAATTAACTGCGGCACATGCATAATTTTCTCCAGTGAGATGGCTTGATACATATAATGACAACACCTCCATTATTATTGGGCACTTTTGTGTGGTTCCTTTTTTGGCAGGCCCATGTCAAAAGGTGCCGGATAGACAAATGCTGATATCACCTTTTTTCAATGAGCCTACGCGTAATTATAGGAAGTGTTTTGTGGGCCCAACAAGATGTTTATCCTTATGCCTGTAGTTGCGCATTGAAAGTTAATTGCTTTGTAATTGAGGGATAGGCTACGAATATTCTTGGGGGTTGTCCACAAACTACATGCCTCTTAGAGAGTTACAATACTACCTGGTAAGAGTTAAATCGTATTAATTAGTTCTGCCTTTTTGATGCTTCAATCAAAGTTCAAATCATAAGCACAAGATTTATGTGCGCCAATCAAAAATGAAAATGAGATTTCCAAACCAGACACCAGACACAACAGATTCAATATACTTGTAATTCTCATACGCTTATCTACACATGCCAACAGAAACACAAAGGCAGCAGCCATCATCCATCAACAACAATCCCAATCCCAGTCCCAGTCCCAACCTCCACTCGGTCTCTTGCCCAAGCGGCGTGTCGGACCGATCTGCTGAAGGAATGTCGATGCTCGCATCTCCCCGGCGAACAACCTAATGAAAAATTTCACTTTGAGTGACCATGAAAACGCATTCGTTAAACATTTTCAATGCTTCTTGGTCTCTGCATCTTGTTTTCAATTGGTTCTGCCTCTGCTTGCGACACTTGCAACACTTGCAACAGAGGACTTGCGCCCACTATGGACTCGTATTGGGCAGACACTGGGACCCAGGATGCGTTGTTGAAATGTGTGACGAAGCAATTACAGACGAGTGAGAAGACGAGGGCACAGGATATGTGCCTTATTGCCTTTCCAGTCAAGAGCCCGATAATTTATGTGAACTATACTTACATATGTAGATAACAGCTCCTAAAGAGCGTGCGAACAGAAAGTAAAAGTGATGAAGGCAATACAAGTATGTTTGGACTTTGCTTTGAGAAAGTGCTCTCCACCTTTAGCTTTTATCTATATTTTATCTTTTATTATTTAAGTATTTCAAGTTCAATTTGTTATTTTAATTTAATCATACTTCTAATCCTTTTCTTTTGGCAAGTAGAATTCCTTTCTTTTTCTTTAGTTTTAACTAGTAAGGGTCCTCAATTGTTTCGATTTTATTTCCATTGTTGGCAAAAAAAAGAAACACACGAGTAAGTTTGCTTTTTTAGTTACTTACCCAAGTCATTCCTAGGTTACTAAAATGCTGCTCTTTTTAATTGATTCTCAGATTGGATAAGATTGATAGCAAGCCAGTAAGTCAAACAAATAAAGGGTTCATTTGTGTTCTTTAAATATTTATTTGTATTCTGTTTTCTAAATAATTACTTCTTTTTTCTTTCAAGCATTCACATTCAATATTTTGAAGGTCAAGCTTTTCAATTGTGTTTTATTACATTTATTAAGCTAAATAAAACTAACTCAAGCGTCTATAAATTTAATAATTTAATACTATATGTACACAAATACATATACATACATATATCTGCATAAAGCATAGTTATCGCATATTCCTATAATAAGATCCGTAGTTTTTTGTTTTTCTTTTCTTTTTTTTATAAATACATAGTTACATGACGAAATGGATGCGTGGATAAATGAATAAACGAGCTATTCATCCGATTTTGATTACATTGATACGTTCTCGAACATTTAAACATTTTTACAATAAATTCAACTACGGGGCGTACCTTTTGTTTTGGGAAAACACCTATACAAATTTGCTAAAGCCTATAAAGTAAAACGAGGGTGCAGAGTGCAGGTGGAAGAAACGAAACTGTACACAAGACAGGGGGAAACGCTTTAGAAAATAACTTTTTACAACAAATACTAGACGAGTGGGTGAGAAGGAGAGTTGCGGAGACAAATAATTTACAACACTGATCTATGTTTGATAATTCGTTCCTTCGTTTAGCGTTGTGTAATACTGTTTTTGGCAAGAAAGCGCAATACTGTACCGTATTAGCTAGCTAGCTCTTAATTAGCTGGACTGCGGGGGGGTGGGGCATGCCCCGCGGGAGAGGACGCAGATGTCGTTGCGGTCGGCGGCGCCGCTTGCGTCTGCAGCGGCAGCTGGTATGGACTGAAGCGTTGGAACTGGCGCGGCCGCATGTCGGGGGAGGGTGAACCTGACGATGTGGAGGACGGCGTCGACGCAGTGGGCGGTGGTGGTGGCGTGCGATTGGCCGCAGCGGCGGCGGCGGCTGCAGCAGCCGCTTGCGCCTGAGCCTGCGCCTGGGCGGCGGCTTGGGCAGCGGCTGCTTGCTGATTGGCGCTGGCCAGGAAGCCGGCGGTCAGCTGTGGCCATTGCTGTTGGAACATGTGGAAGGCGCCCAGACCCGGTGGCGGGGGTGGGGGACCGGCGGCGGCGGCCGCTGCCTGATACATTTGTGGCATCATCAGCTGCGCGTACGGCGAGTTGCCGCCAAACATTTGCAGATGCTGACGCGCCTTCTCGAAGAGGGCCATCGACGCGGGATCGGGTGCTCCCTGCTGGGCGGCGAACTGTTGCATCAGCGGATCGGGAAAGAGGCGGAGCGGCGAGCGCAGTTGTTGCTCGAGCAGCAGCGCCTCCATGGGATCGCGATCGAAATCAGTGAGGCGCGAGGAGTCGCGAAAGCCTTTGGCGAAGGGATTCGAGTCGATTTTCAATTTGGTTATCAGCTGATTTTGGTAAGCGGTGACGGCGGTGAAGACGGTCTCAGAGAACACATAGGTCTTGTGGTCGAGTTCCTGCAGCTCCTTCGGATTGGTGGGTATGCTCTGGCCATGCGCCAAGCGCACCAAATGAATGCGCGGCTGATAGCGGTGCATGGAATTGAGAACGATCTGCAAAATCGGGATGAGAAAGACAAATCTTGCATTTAGTTTGGGCTGTGGAAAATAATTCTTAAAAGTATTCAACAGTAGCGCATTATGTGAAACGATCTAATATAAATGAATAAAATAAATATAATAAAACAAATCTATAAAATGTGAGGGTTGGAAATAATATACTGGTTCTATTAATATAATATCAGTCGACCTAACATGAACTGCAGCCGAAGAAAATGTTGTTCCACTGTTCGAACAAATGTTTTCATATTTATTAAATAATCATAAACTAACTTAGGTGACACATCATATTCAGAGTTCTGCTGAGTTCCATTTATTAGATTTTTAATTTTTAGTGAATATTCAAGAAATTAAAATACCTTTCCTTTGCAAAAATTAATATGTCATATGGATAGTTCTAATTATATCATATCAGTCGGCCTAACTTGAACTGCAAAGTAAGAAAATGATGTTCCACTTTAAGAACAAATGTTTTGAAATTTATAAAGCAATCAAGTCTGATTAAGGCAACTCATCATATTCAGAGTACTATTTGGTTCCATTTATTCAATTTAAAATATTTGGTGAATATTCAAGAAATTAAAATCCAATCAAATTAATATCTCATCTGGATAGTATACGAGTACACTAGTTCTAATTATATCACATCAGTCGACCTAACTTGAACTGCAACGTAAGAAATGTTGTTCCACTTTAAGAACAAATGTTTTAAGATTTATAAAACAATCAAGTCTAAATAAAGCGACACATCATATTCGGAGTTCTGCTTGGTCCCTTTTATTCCATTAAAAGTGTTTAGTGAATATTCAAGTGATTAAAATCACTTTTAAAGGAATAGCTTCTCTGGGCAGTCACATTAATATTCTCCTATCTTAATAGAGGGGAGATATGAGAAGTTCATTATAGAGCTGCTGTACTGTATGAACAACAACATGGGGTATAAAAATTGTGCGCACATGCGCGTAAGTTGCTCCTCGCTTGGAAAATGGCTTGGAAAAGTTGCGTGCTTGACGACTCCGGCAAAAATGTGGTCGACAAATTGCCGCAAATGTTGTCAGCTAGTCACTATACAAGTAGAGTATCCTGCTTCTGTGCATACAGTATTCGTTTGTGTGGATGTATATGCTTGCAGACAGCGCAGCTCTTGTTGCTGCAGCATGTGGCAGAACAGTGGCAAAAATTATCAATCATTTGGCCTTGACCAGACGCTCGAGTATATCCATATGCGTATATATACTTGTAGTATACCTATAATCTGCTAACAAACAACTACCATCTAGCAAGCTCAACTCACCTGTCCGTTCTTATCCATTTCGTTATTTGTCAGCTTCACCTTCTCGAACGAAATAACTTGTTTGCGCAACGCCTCGCAGCTGAAGGGGCTGTCCGGATGCGCGTAAATGCGTGAGGGGGGTGGCGGATCGGATTTTCCCGCCACCAGCCAGGCCGAGCGATGGTATGCATAGCGATAGCGTTTCGAGTCCATCGGTATTATATCCAACAACACTGCATACCGATCGGCTGGCTGGATCTGGCGCAACGGACCCGAGAAGCTCACGCGCACAGTGGGAAACATGCGTCTGAGAACAAAAGGAGTAGAGTAGAGATTTTTTATTAATTGGATGCTGGATGTTATAGAAATTTCTACGCTAAACACCACACAAGATGCGCGGCCCTAGCTAATAATAATGCGCTTATTTATAACCCGACCCAAGAATTCGGACTCATCCTTTGCTTTGACAAGTGCAAACAATGCTGGATGGGGAGAGAAGAACTCTTTCGCTTTCTGAATGCAGCGCCTGATCCCATTCGCCTGATCCCGAAAAGTCGGGGCGTAAAGTGTAACAACATGGGTCAATTTCTAAGGCGTCCTGCGGTTTAAATGCGACTTAAGCCCGAGGCTAAGCCAAAGGAAGTGTGTGTGTGTGTGTGACATAACTGGCAGACAAAGTAGCGCAGGGCACAGGCTGTTGTATTAGTTTCGGGGACCGCCCTGATTGTTGAACGCCTAGTTGTCTGCCTGTCTATATGCCTGAGGTGTGATATTTACAATATCATTAAACTGTCTGTGTGTGTGTGTGTGTCTTTTTGTGTGTGTGTGTGTGCGTGACGGCGAGGGTTGACAACGCAGTGTGTGCGTGTGTGTGGTCATTGACTGCGACCATTTGGAGCGATTGAGGTGTGGACAACCCGTGGCTTTTACTGGATTTCTTGTGCGCGCCTGCTGACTGTTTTCCTCCATCTACTCGGACACTTGCTTCGGCTGGCTGGTTGCTGTTGACAGCAGCAACGCCCAGCAATGATGTTGCTAAAATGTTGCAGAATTCGTTTGATTGAAGAGCAGGCCAGGCACAGGTAAGGCAGGTCTGAATGCATTTGTAGCTGGGCAGCTGGAACATCCTTTTGTTGCAATTTTTGGAGACCGCACACACCAGTCGGTTAATGGATGTTGCTGCTATGGCATGAAATTTCTGTTGGCATTGCAAACATTTGACATGGGAAGGTGTCAGTAAGAATGCTCAGGCTCTCAACCTTTGGCATATGCGTGCACAGATTGGACAAAGTAGAGGATGGACTCTGTTTTCAACGTGTATTTGGACAAGCATGGGCCATTTAAAGGATACATGAAATCCGTTTCATAATCATAAATGCAAGTAAAAGTGGATGCAGCACTGACTTGCGGGAAGAAGTTTAGAAAAGCTTAGGAAACCTAGTCGAGTTCATTCCGTACAATCTTAATAGACTTCAGTTGAAAACTCTATTAGTTTTTCAAGCTTTGAAAGACATTCGGTATCTATATTTTTTTTTAATAGAGTTTCTTGAAATATTTAATTGTTATAAAAAGCAAACATACTATAATGCTATCAAAAAATATATTGAAAATAGATTGGGTCGAGAATTAAAATCACAAGAGAGGGCCCTTTTTTAAAAATTACTTGAATATTGCTTTCCCATCAAAAATAAGAGCCCACATTTCAGCCAACCTGAGAGTTGTCTGCTGGCTCTTCAGCTAAAACCAAAGCTTATTTCTCCGACTTACCTGCCAGTTTTTGTTATTATCATCTCAGTGCCCAGCTCGTGAAAACGATCCCACAGCTCTTTGGTCTCCAAATGACACTGCACCGGCTTGAGATCATCACAATTACAGGAACCGACAATTTTTGGTGCCTTCTGCACCGGTTCGGGTGTCAAGCGCTCTTCACTGTCCTCGGTGCCCGGGGACTGCGGTGGCGTCGAGCAGCGTCCTTGGCTGCTGGTGGAGCTTGTGTTTAGTTGGGATTCGGCGCCGGCGCTGCGACTTTTGTGATTGCCGCCACTGTGGTGATTGCTGCTAAGGTTGTTGTTGTTGTTGTTGCTGCTGCTGTTGGTGGAATTGGAGTTGATGTGTGCCGGGCTGTTGTTATTGTGAATGCTGTTGTTGTTGTTATGATGGTGGTGCTGGTGGTGGTGATGGTGGTTCAGACGACGCGCCTTGGCTGGCGGCTCCTCAACATCACTGCAGTCAACGACATCAACGTCAACCTCGTCCTCAACTGAAATTGGGCCTGTTGGTTGGATAAATTGAAAATAAAAAGTGAATTAAATGAAATTTAGTTGGAACAGGCATTAAGCAGGCATTTCTTTCCAAGCCTAATTGAATTGGGCAACAACAAAAACCCTACCAATAGCAACTACTCTGCTAATTGGCAACATGTTGCTAATGGCGAAATTGTTGCTAAATTTCACTTTGCAGCACACCGACATGTTGCCCAACATTGCATTTGTTGCAATTGCCGAAAGTCGGGCATATGGTTGTTTTGGATTTCCTAAATAAAAGCTTATTTAAATACGAGGAGAGTGCTGGCAGCTTATGCAATAATTCATTCATATTTTAATCTCGGGTTTCTGCTCTTCTCATATTCAGTTTCCGCCCGTTTCATCTTGCATTGCATCCGATTCGTGTTCTGCTATCTTGAAACAATCGTCGCCTAATAAGCTAAACGATGAGTTGAATCCGCTGCCGTGGACTACTCGTATTCATACTGAATTATGTATATTGCTTGTTGTAATAAGCAGCAACAACGACTGCGGCTCAAGGTGTATGGGTGCATGGGTGTCAAAACAAATATGAATTTTGGACAAACAGCAAAAATTCAAAAACAATTGTCCCAACCACGCCGAAATGGCTGAAGCGCTACATTCGAGAGCAGCTCAAGCAGCGCACGGTAACTGAAATGCTCGAAGTGTTGGCAGTAGCGCAGTAATCAGCAGACTGACGAAAAAAGCAGCCGGTAGGTGTTAAAATGTCAAATAAGCAAAAATGTTTTTGTGCATTTGTCAATGAAAAGGCAGACAACAACAGCGCTAACAAAATTACAACCAGCGGTGTATAAAATACACTTATTTAAATGCATAATTATGCACATAAAAATTGAAACATTTACTTAGCACATCAAAAACATTCAATAATAAAAAAGAACACTGGGGAGCCGTAGAAGCAAACGCAAAAAAGCTTTAAATTCTCAGCTTAAGTCTCTGTCAACGCTTCCCGCTGTGCCTTTGCTAATTTTTTGCTCCTCATAAAATTAATAAAATATTTTTAAACACATTGTTGAAAATGAATTTACATAATTAGGCGCTTTTGTTCCTACGCGCATATATCGCTCTATCCATTGTTTATTTGATTTGCATAATTCATATTTCACGATACTCGTAGAAACAAAGATACGAACAGTTCGAGAAGATTGTTATCTCCAGATTGGCGACAAGTCCAGAATTTGACATCGGCTTCTTAAGTTTTCGAATTATTAGCCAGGAGGTGCCACAATATTTTCCGACGGTGGATGAAAGGTACATTCCTCTGGTACATAGTTCAAGAATCGTCAGTATTGCCGTAGCAACAACAATTATTTTAAGTGTAGCAATGTATCTAACAAGTAACAAGTACGTATTTATGTGGAGTAATAACACAATTTTGTACGGGGCTCTGGTTCATAATTGCAGCTATAGATACTGCTTTATAATTGCGGATGCAATGCCCGTCGGCTTCACTCGGGATGTTGTTGTTATTGCTTGGGGCTCGTGTCCAAGCCTCAAGAAAATTGTCGCAAATGCTGTCATCGAGAACGAGTTGTTTGTGAATTGTTGTTATTGCTATTGCATTAGCTGTTGCTCTTAATTGTCAATTATCATCAAGTATTGTATGTACATACATATGTACGAGTATATATGTATGTGGAATTGCAGCGGTTCTAACAACAGTTACTGGCTTGCTGTGAAATCGAGTGCAGTTTATTTTAAAACTTAATTGCGCACAGAAAAACGCGCTATTTATTAAACAAGCTTTAATTGTGATTAATTTTGTGTCAGACTACAATTTGTTGACCTTTCCAGTGGAAACTTTGCATATTTTTTGAGAGTCAATTTCGAATTTTCAGTTTTCTGAGTTTCTGTTGGAAACATCAAAGCTGCTGTTCTGGTTGAGTGCCGTCGGCTTAGGAGTTTATTGAAAGTAAAAAGAATGCAGTTTTGTGATTTATCCAATATTAATAAAATTCTCAGAATCAGAGAAGAGTTTCTCGTTGTTTTCAATTTTCCAAAGATAATACTTGGATCGAAAGCGATATCGACGCTTCGTATATGTATGTTTACGGATTTAGAGTGTCACTTTTAAAATGCATTTTATTGAGAACATGTTGAGCAGTTTGAAAGATGAACCCACGACCTTTAAGCTAATTCAGACCTGCCTATTAAAATGAAAATTTCGTTCCAAAGAGTACAGTTAGAAATGCTTGGAACAACGGAAGCTATGCAGTTAAAATCTTGTGCAGTATGTACCTGAAACATGTCGGTATACATGTTTTAACTCCTATTTCATTCTCTTATGTATGTCTTTAAAACGCCTTTTACAATATTCGAGCCTGAAGCTCTAAGAGGGTTCGCATTGAGGCGATTCGCCGTTCTACTAGCATTTGTTTCGAGCAATCCAATCCCTCGTATTATTATTGTTATTATTATTACTTGTTAAATGATTGAAGCCAACTATAATCTGGCACTTACTTGCACTGCGCAGCGACGACTCCCGACTGGAGGCATCTTCGCGCGCCATAATGGCTGCTATCGAGAAATCCGTAGCAGAGCCGGCGGCACTTTTGCTCGCTGTCGTTGTTGTTGTTGTGCTTGGTGCCGCCGCGGCAGGCACAGGTGGCAACACACCATTGCAGAGATAGGGATGTGAGCCCACGAGCATTTTGTCTGCTGTATCTATTGTTTATGCTGAACAGAATTCACTGCCGAGAGCTCAGAGTTTGGAATACAAATACTATACTATATAAGTATATGTATCTTTAGGCATGCACTTGTCAACACTTTTGCACTTTAGGAATTTTGCATTTTTATTTGTACGCTTCGATGCGGACGCTGATTGAAATGTTTTAAGGAGAAAGCAACACTTGTACTTCTTTAGTTATGTGTGTGTATCTTGCGGATAATGTATCTTCACGGTAAATCAACAACTACTTGAAAATGCAAACACAACGCGCAGTGTGAAATTGGCCAAGAGCGAGCCGTGAGTGTGTGCGCAACGTAAGGCAAGCGACGACGAACTGAATTGTGTCAGGAACGTGTTGTAGCTTGAAGCCAGCGCGCACACATACAGATACAAATACACAAGAACACGTTTTCACGGGGCACGGGCGGCGAATGAGCAGCGGGAAACCAGTTTGTGAACTGCCTGAGTGTGAGTGAAAAAAGCAAAAGAAAAACCCACTGCGTTGTTGAGAGTGAGTGAGCGCTTGTTGCCAGAATCAATTTAAGCGGTGCATGCTTGAGTAAGAGCAGTACGGCAATAGCCACAGATATACATGCTGTCAGTTGGGACCAAAATCAACTCAATGCGCTCACATTTCCAATTGGAAGTGCGCTAGAAAAACATGAAAAGGGGAATGTTTCGCTGTGCTCGATGTATGCACTAGAGCGAGACGAGAGATGTGTGTGCGCAGAGGCCATTGCACTCACACGCATGCGCCGCTGCCATTGGGAGTGGGTTGTGTCGTCGACGTCGTCGTCGCCGTTGACGGCCACTCAGCAACATTTTCTTGTCATAACTCATTTACAATTAAAAATGTCGGCGCTTTGTCCGCTCACTCGCTCGCAAGGCAAGCGTTTGCTCTCTTTCTTTCTTCCATATTGTGTAGTGTGTTTTGCATTTATGAAGTGCAAACGTTTTGCTTGCGGTTTTTCATGTTTTTCCACAACTTTTCACGGCGACAACGGTGTCGTCGGCATTCACATTTCTTTTATCTGTGTGCATACATATTTGTACGATGAGTGTTTAGCTGGCAATGTCTGCGCACTGAGTGTGTTTCACGTTGATTCCAACATGTTCCGTTTCAGTACGTTCTCGTTGGTAAATTGGCTCGAGTGGTTTTGAGTGTTCACACACACACACACTCACACACACATTCATCTGTCTATTGTAGCTTGTTGATAAGTAATCATTGAGGCTGCTGCCACCATGCATTTAGCGCTTGAAAGCTTGTTTTTTGTTCGAAATTCGGGTTCCACACAAAGAGCAAAAGGAAGTATGAAGCACGCAGAAGGAGGCGTGGCAGACCCCACAAGGTATATGTATATATTTTCACTGTATGAATGCAAGGATCTCAAAATGTACATATCAGAGCTAGAATAACAGAACTTGGTATTTATAATTCCATAAGCTTTAACCAGGACAAGCTTGAGTTTCGTTCGATGCATGCCCCACTACCCGCTATTAGCCTTTTATTCATGTCTCCCGTAAATCTTGAAGCTGTTTACTCCAATTACATATGCTTCAATTTAAGAAGCATAATTTAAAAAAATTATTAAAAAGATCATATTTTGCAATCATTTTTATTGTTTATATTTATTTTTTTGTCCGATCGGGTGCAGGGTATTTCTGAGTTAGGTCCGTTCGACCATAAAATTCCATTCTTGTTTTTATACTCTGTACATGAAATGTACAAGAGTATTTTTAAATTTGTTTTAGTAACCTTTCAATGTATTTGTGGTTTTTTTGTAGTTGGCATTTATGCTCAGAAAACGAATATGAAATGTATTGATTCACAGTTTACTGATTTAGGAAATACATCTTGGCGGATTGGTCCTTTTTGCACTTTATATTGTTTGATTTGAACCAAATTTAAAATGTGTGAACGGGCATGTTTAAAAGCTATCAATAGTTTCTTTCATTATCAGTAGTATTAGAAATTTCTACTACTCTTGGCAGTTTAATCTTACTGTAGCTATAGAAATATTAATAAGTAAAATGTGATTACCCAAGAGTGCATATAAGTACGTAAAACAAAATTGTACAAATATTAGCATATGTACATACATTCTAAATTGAACGCATATTTACGCGCAAAAATTTACATGTGTTAGCTCATAAGAGAATTCTCGTATCCTAAGGTGATGGTCATGGGTCTCCATGTATTTTTCACTTTGTGATTAAAAGATAGTGCCAACTTGAAAGGTTTCTTAGGTCCTTTCATTTAATATTTCTATGATTTTCTCAAAAGATACGAAATCTTTGCTAGGGGAGGATATGTAGAGGAAATTTCTCATTTTATTAAGTCCGCGTAGTATCTGTTTCTCACAGACTTTCATACTTTATTGTTGACTAGAACTCGCCGCTATACTCCCGATGTCTGTTGCTGGAGTATTGCTCACATCTATTGTTATCACATCATTCAATTTTGTGGTGATTTCAACTGTGGCTGGGTTTACCGGCTCGGCGCGATCTCTAGCGGTATCCGCCACTGCCACATCAATGCTTGCCTAAATCAGCGCTGTGCTGAAATCGTCCTCAATTTTAGGCATCTGATCACCAGAATTATTGGCGCAACAGCACAAGCGTTCCAGACTGCATGATTAGACGGCGTTAGTATGAACAGTTGTTTAGGGCTCTTTAACGACATGTGCTCCTCAACGTCCACATCGTCCTCCTTCTCAACGCTGGCCACAATAATTTTGGTGGCTTCTGTTTCTGGCGCCTTGGTACATTGTAGTTTTAGAAGCAACTGATTGCATTTGGGGCTGGTTGGTATATTCTCGGCAATCCCTACAATCTCCTGTGCGTCAGGTAGAGGTCCGTTCGTATTTTTAGCTCCACCACCGTCGGTGCCCGATAAAGAATTCATGCGTCGATTTCCTCCTTATCACTACCAAGGGCGTAGTGATGGGGCAGGGATGGGGCAGGGGGGTGGCAGTAGCCCCCTTTACAAACAATTTTTCCATACAAAGTCGACCACACGTTCGCACTATTTCGCCTTAGAATGGAACTGAGTGGGATTTGTTGAAGTTTTTTCATTGATCATATGCATAAATTATTTCTTAAATGCATCGTGCAATTTTTAATCAAAATTTTAATTTTTTGGCTCCCCCTTTGGTAAAAGCTGCCTACGCCCTTGATCACTAACATTGCAATTATTGTCGATATTGTTGTTGCTATAATTAATACGCGATCGCTCCAACATGTGGGACAGTGTAGAAAAATCACAGAGAGCTGAATTATTGCCAGGACGATGGGCCGCTGCATGACTCTTCTTGCAGGAGGTCATCAATGCAGATACAAAGCCACAGCCACAAAAAATCGATGCATGGTCGATTTAGCTGCTCTTTTCTGGCTCATCTTTTTTGATTTAATTTTGTTGGTGGCATTATTTTTTATTACGAATGAAACACTGACAAACAGAGTAAAAAAAAGTCAAACAAATGAAAATAAGTAATAAGCCAGAAACGACGGTTTATCGCTGTGAACAATCGGATGAAAACTTGCAGATGCACCCATTGGACTATTTTGAAATTATTACGAAATTTGATTAAAATCGCTTGAACGGTTTCGGAGTCTCTACGGAGTATACATATATACATATATACTTCCATTTTTAAACTGCTTTTATTAGCTTCACCTGTATGTATGTATGTAACGGAATCTTTCAGCGTAATTTTTACTATATATATAGATATAGATTTATTTGTATTAAAAATTATGTCGCAAACTAGGTTGGTGTGATAATGTTCTACCCAAAAGCCGGACATACTTGTATTTTAAAGGACATCCATCATTACAAGGTCGACGCGCACCGAGTTTTTACTCTCTATAATGCACGTATTCATTCTTTATTCAAAGATATAGGATGGCCGGGCTTGTTTCGCATCCTTGAGCTTGTTGCTGACGGGCACGCGCATTCTCATAACTCATATTCTCATATTCTTATATTTATGGCTGAAGTTCAAGGTTGAAGCGGAGTGTGTTGTGAAGGCCGAGCTGTTGCAGTGTTCCTTGGCGAATGCTGCATGGCTCGCTCAGTTATGGCTTTTCGCACTAATTAACGTGCTGATGGACACACATTAGCAATTGGCTGGCTGGACGGCCCACTGATTATTTTCTTTTGCCATGCGGAACCAAAATACCAAATAACTGGAGCTTTTGCCGGCAGTGGCAATGCATTGTAAATACCACGAATGTGAATGCAACTGAAGCGGAGAGCAAGAACGGAAAACAAACAGCAATTGCAGAGCATGCGATGGCGGAGTGGCAGTCGGCCATGCAAATGGAGGACGCCTAACTATAATTTTGAATAATTACGAGTTATACGTATTTTCGTATATTTCGTTTCTCTGCAATTGTATTGCCCTTTCTGAGCTGGCGGCCTCAAAAAGGGAGTTCAATTTTTTCCCAGGCCAAGTCAAGGGCAGGACCTCTGTCCTTGTCAGTTCGATAAAAGCAAGAAGTTAAAAATTAATAGAAAAGTTCAGCGTTAGACGCAATGTCAAACTCATTACAACAAGAAGAGCGCGCCAATTAGCGCGGATCTGAAGGCAGCTACTAACAAGCACTAATCCTGCTTATCCTGTGCGTGTGATTTTTGTAATTTGACACTTTCCCAAAGCGAACAAGACAGAGAGAATGAGAGAGAGAGAGAGAGAGAGGGAGGGAGAGAGTGAGAGAGTGGGCTTGTCACTTTGACACTTTCACAACAATGTCGAGCACTAAGGAAGCGTTGCGACTCGACGTTTTGACGTCGTGTGTGTTCGCACTTTAGCAGCTTCCCTCACCGTACATGTGAGTGTGCATGTGTGTGTGTGTGTGTGTGTGCGTGTGTGTGTGTGTGTGTGTGCCTCAGTGGCAGTCGCGTATGTCACCGAAATGTCAAAGGGCCAGAAGAAACACAAGTTGTGAAAACAAAGACAGCCGCTGTCTCAGCAAGAGGGTCACCAAATTTATGGTCCCATACATACTCGGCACTTGGCACTTGTAGAAATAAACACTAGTCCTTGTTAATTAGTTTAGTACACTGTCGCACTTCAGCTTATTCAAATGCCACTTTCTCCTCATATTTTCTCCCGCTCCTCTTCAAGTGCGTTTCGAGCGGCTGTCGGCATTTATTGGCAATTCATATTTTAGCAGCCACTATCTCTTTGGGTAACTTTACACTTTCGCTCGAGTGGCTCATCATTGGAAAGTGTTTGAAGCCGGCCGCAAGGATTCGTCCTGGTCTTGAGTGCGTATACAAAC